CTTTTTCCTCACTTTTGGTCCTTTATTTATTTTCTCTGGATTGTATCATCCTCTGGACTACATCACCTAATAAACACGGTTCAAATTCTTAGAAAAAGAACTGCTAACACACACTTTAAATTTTTATTCTTATTTTAAGGATGATGTAAAGAGGAATTACAATTAACATGAGTCAGGTAATGAGTACATTTCCTTTTGTACAATGTCTTCCCTTCCCTCACTCTCTCCCAGTCCCTCCCTCTCATCTCCACCCACGACTTACATAGTTCACTTTCAGCAGTGTCCAGTGAGCTCCACTGCTGCACATTTTCACCCTTTTCCCTAGAGTTCTCTACCCTTCCCCTCCCTAAGCTATACAAGCAAATACATCATACAAAAAGAAAAGGGGGGAGGATGGGATGCGAAGGGGAAACAAAGGAGGCTACAATGCTTGATAAGAAATGTACTCATTATCTTGCCCATGTAATTGTAACCCCTCTGTACAGTATTTTCACAATAAAAAAGAAAGAAAATAGAATCATCAAAAAAGATGAGATCTCTTGTTTCCCTATCTTGGAGTTCATTTTGAGATACATACAGGCATGCACGCATAGATAGATAGATAGATAGATAGATAGATAGATAGATAGATAGATAGATAGATAGATAGATAGATAGATAGATAGATAGATAGATAGAGAAATATATCCTCTTTTGGACTCACATTTCAAATGGTCCCAGACACTCACCTTTTTTTGTTTATATTACTTTGGGGTGGTATTTCATTGTTACATTTCAACAAATTTACAGTGTATTCCTATCAATTTCACCCACGTCATCACTTTCCCTCCCCCTCCCCCAATTTTTAAAATCTGATGGATCTATCTCTATGAAGATTATTTGTGCTTCATTATAACCATTATAAATACATGGAGGAATTTTCTAATTTCAGGCCCCACCTCAAATCTACTGTATCTGCCTTTTGGAGATTCCCAGGTGACTCAAGTGCATATGAAAGTTTCTGAAGACCTGCTCTATCTAATCTACATGCCTTTGCACAGGTTGATCTTTAATCTGGAGTATCATTCCCTGCTTCTCACAAGGCTACCCTTTCTCAGTATCCATTCACAATGTTTTAAAGGATGTACTTAGAACAGAAGATAAGAAGTTACATACTGTTTCTAAGGAAAATGGTAGTGCATTTATAAGAGAAATAAGTAAGAAAAAATAGTTCTCAAATGAAACTGAATCTTAACCAAGTATTTAAGGTTAACATCACCAGTGATTTGTCATGTTGATATCATATACCCCTGGTATGTAGAGAATTTAGGAGACACAATAACCAAAAGCAAATTTTTGGATTGACTTCTAGAACAGGAGGACATCAGTGGAAAAGTCTGAAATCAGAATAAATCTACAGTTTAGTAAAATACTACCAGTGTCAAGTTCTTTGGTTTGATCAGTATGTTGTGGTTATATAAGATCTTAATATTATGACAAATACACAGTAATTGTAAATACATTTGGTATCTAAAATTGTAACACTTTTTAAAACGTGGAAACAACCACTTGTGAAGAGTAGGAGATCCTCAGGTCTCAGCCTCCTGAGGAGCTAGGATTACAGGTGTGAACTACCCCAGAGCTGCCATTCCCAGTCATTTTAACTTCAGGTTGATGGATTAAGCTCTCCATTCTCCGCTTTTTTACCTCTACTTCTCTCCTCCCTTTCCCTGCACTATAAGGACATGTCTTCTTCTCTTAATCCTCCTGTCTCAGTAATGTGTTTCTGCCTCAATCTCTTCCCTCTATCCTTTTTTCATACATACACAGCCTTGTGAATTTTTTTTACATCTCTCCTTCAGAACCTACTCCAACATTTTCAACTTCTGAAAGCCAAGTCCCATCATTTATCTTAATGGTTGAAATGAAAATCAAGGAGTTTTCTTCTTTTAAAGTTTATTTAGATCTATATTCACTTAACAGAACCCATATATACAAAAAAATATAGGTGAAAACCAATGTGAAAGTGCTAGCATACGTTAATAACAAATTAATGAGTACTGCTTTTTTTTTTTTAATAGGAGAGGTTATTACTTACTTTAATCCATGACAAAGACTTTAGTTATATAACATACTGAGAAGCAAGTTCCTAGCTTTGGGAGCAAGATTATTCACCTAATCCCTAAAGTTAAAGGGTAGGATTAGAGAAAACAGAAGTCTCAAAAAATGAACTTTTATAGATGAGGGCCTGCTGAAAGGAAACATGGAGAAGGTTCCAAGTCTTCCCGGCTCATTCTAAAGGCTCCCAGTTAGGGTAGAAGCTGGTCGAGGCAGTAACCCATTGAATTAGTTCTCCCTGGTGTAGAATGGAGGCTAGCTGTTAGAGTACTTTAGACTTTGCCAGAAAACCACGCAGACATCCAGGTACAGAGAACAAAGAAAGGTTTATTGCTGGGGAAGGGGCTGGAAAAGACCCCTTTCTCACAAGGGAGAAGTGAGAAGAAGCTCTGGTTATTGTCTGAGGTGACCTATATTACCTAGGAGGTTTAGGAGGGGCTAAATGGGGCTAGGAGGTGGAGATCCTAGTGTGGACGTGAGGACCAGGGGCTTCATCATGGCAGACTAAGATTTATGACTGCTGTCCAGACCTGAAAGTCACTCGAAGGGGCTCTTGTTGCCTTATATGGTGGTAGCTGTCCCAGAGGAGTGCCATCCCAAGGTATAGGGGGTTGGAGGCTGATTATTTACTGCCTTTACTAAATGGGCCTAGTGTTGCCTAGGAAGGGAGCATGCTAAGCTGTGGAGAGGGGAAGGAGTGTACTAAGCTATGGGAAGGGAGCTCATTGTGCAAACACTAGCCCAAGCATGGGCGGGTTTGCAGAAGGATTGCAGCTCAATGAATGGAAAGGCATATACTAAGAGTAGCCTCAGAGCCAGATGAAATGGCTGCTTTCTAAGTATTACCAAAAATTTCCTCTGGAGCCACAAGGCAATATTATTCTGTGACAAAGCAGAAATAAGAGACAGGGTGGATATGTTTTACTGCAAAATATTTTCATTGTTCGTGTTGATGGCTCAATGGTAGACTTTTTGTATACCACACGGGAGACCTGGGTTCAATTCTAACCACTCCAAGACTAATACTTCGCTTTCCAGGCCCTAAATTTGATCCAATATTTTTCTATTCTAGGGCTTTTAACAATTAAAATAAAAAAAAGTTGGCCCAGTCATGTGTGATCTTTCAGTTCAGTTCCTGCTCCTCCACCAGCTCTACTCACAGGGACCAGCCCTTTGCACTGGTGTTCAGGAGTTCAGGAGTGCCCTGACCACTCTGCTTCGGGGATGAACCCAGTGCACTGGGCTGGAGGTCCAAAGTAGCTGAAATGTCACTTCTATTCTCAAGACTGGTCCCCAATCCCTTTAGAAAGACATTGCATATTTTTCTCTGACCTGGTAGGGAACAGAACCAGTGCCTAGAAATTGCTGCAGTCCTGGTCCATCCACATGTTAATATAATAACTAGATGCATTCCCATAAGTCTGGGGACTACACTGAGCCACCTTCCCAGCCCCTTTTCAAATATTTCTTTATTGAGATTACATGACTACTGAAAATACTTTTTAAAAGAAAAAACAATAAAACACGTCCACAACACCCCTATGTGAACCAAACACCTGCCTCTCATGTCACAAACCCAAAACACCTATGATCTTTTTTTTTTTTTTTTGTCAGTCATGGTTCTTGAACTCTGGGCCTGCGCACTGTCCCTCAGCTCTTCAACTCAAGGCTAGTGCTCTACCACTTGAGCCACTGCACCACTTGTAGTTTTCTGCGTGGTTTATTGGAGATGAGTCTCAGGGCACCCAGCACCTATATGTTCTTAAGTCATTTCACCTATCTGAACAGCAGCTTCCTCAGTTTTAAAGTGAATGATATTGGACTACTTGTTTGTAGGAATTATCCAGGTTTCAAGGTCTCTGATTTCAAGTGTTAAAGAATGTTCTCCTTCCACAAATATGTATTGAATGCTTTATCATTTGTCAGACACTGAACTGTTGCTTTATCATGTGCCAGACATTGAACTAGCCTCTGAGCAAACAAAGCACTGGACTTCTCCAGGAGCTCATAGTCTGATAGAAAACAGACAATATTCTAATGGAAGAGTCAGACAATAAATAAGTAAACATACAACACATTAGTTGACAATAAGCACAATGGAGAAAAAAGCAGGAGGGAATTCAGTGTATGGTGGGAAGTGAAGTACTAAATGATCAAGGAACCTTTATTGAAAATGCAACATTTGAATAAAGACCTAAAGGACATGGCCTTTGCCCACTTTCAATTTCTATAACAAAACATCTGAGACAGGGTAATTTACAAATAAAAGAGGTTTATTTAGTTCACAGTTGTGGACACTGAAAGTTCCAAAACAGTTACCTACATTGGCTTGGCTTCTGATAAGGACCTTGTATTGCTACAAGAAAAGCTTTTTTGGAGGGTTGGGCAGCTTGCTAGGCAGGCATGGTGCTACTGAGCTAACCACCAGACCAGAAAGAACATTCTTGAATTAATATAGGCTGTGTGAAGAAGTATAATTGACTGGGTGAGTTCAAGGAAGACAAAAATGAGTAAGTAAACAAGGAAGAACAGAAGGAAATGAGATCAGAGACACAAAAAGGAATAGGATTGTGTAGTGTCTTGTAGAACATCGTAAAGGTTTTAACATTTGCCAAGTAAACTTTTATGTGATTTTGAGCAAAGAGGTAAACAAAACAAGCTGTGGATCCCAGATTGCTTTCAAGAAGGGGCTATGGGAGAAGGAAAAGTGTGGACTGGACAGCTGCTGCTGTTATTGCTTTTCTTTTTTTTTTTTTTTTTTTGGTTGGTCATGGGGCCTGAACTCTGGGCCTGGGCACTGTCTCTCAGCTCTTCAGCTCAAGGCTAGTGCTCTACCACTTGAGCCACAGCACCACTTCTGGCATTTTCCGCTTATGTGGTGCTGAGGAATTGAACCCAGGGCCTCATGCATGCAAGTCAAGCACTCTACCACTGAGCCACCTTCCCAGCCCTGCTATTGTTTTTAAGCCATAAAATTAGCTGCCATTTGTCCTGAGGATCCTGGTACCATCTGCCTTTGTGATTCATCTAGCCCCATTGAGCTTCAATGGTCTCTGCACACAGAGAAGTATATCCCAGTGTCCACTGCAAATACAAATACCATCATCAGGAAGAAAGGAACTTGAAACCAAAATAGAGAGATGGATGGAATTGCTGGACCTAGTGGGAGAGGCAGAGAAATGGGGAAAATGATAGTTATTAAGGCAGAAATTTGAAATGAACTGTCAGCCTTTGTAAATGTCACCCAAACCAAGAACTTAACACAAGGCCAAGAGTAGATAGGTAGGCCAAGAAGTCTTCAGAAGATGCCTTCATCTTTCTACCTTTCCCAATAAAGACTTTAGCCTTTATTATCCCAATAAGGTGTCCTGAGCACAGCTGTCTGAAGTTATAAAGGACAAAGATTTTTGTGGTCATCTAGACTTGGCAAATGTGACATGAAATACAGTATGCATATTCTTTCTAACAGGTTTTCAAAGCTAGCCCTGGCAGGGACAATATTTTGCTATGTAGCTCAGACTAGCCTCCAACTTGAGATCCTCCTGCCTCAGCCTCCCAGGTACTACAGTATCCCACCACACTGGGCATACTGAAAACATTTTTTTCTGTTGATCATGGGTCTTGAACTTGGGGCCTAGATGCTGTCCCTGAGCAATTTTGCTCAAGGCTAGAACTCTACCACTTTGAGCCACAGTTTTCTGGTAGTTAATTGGAGATAAGAGTCTCACAGACTTTCCTGCCCAGGCTGGCTTTGAACTGCAAGCCTCAGATCTCAGCCTCCTGAGTAGCTATTATTATAGGCATGAACCACCAGTGCCCAGATGTCTGAAAGCTTTTTTTTTTTTTTTTGGTCAGTCATGGGACTTGAACTCTGGGCCTGGGCGCTGTCCCTCAGCTCTACAGCTCAAAGTAAGCATTTTACCACTTGAGCCATGGTGCCACTTCGGGTTTTCTGAGTGGTTTATTGGAGATAAGAGTCTCAGGGACTTTCCTGCCCAGACTGGCTTTGAACCATGATTCGAAGATCTCAGCCTCCTGAGGCTAGGATTACAGGCATGAGCCACCAGTGCCCAGCTTGTCTGAAAACTTTTAATGTACATTATTAATATAAAAAGGACAGAGCATGCAATATGTTCTACATCAATTTAGCCACCGAACCTCTCATTTTAAAGCACTTCTCCAGGAGTTACTTGACTAGAATGACCTTTGGGGAGCATTGAATTAGAGAATCCACAAACCACATCAATATATCTTTACCCACCACCTCCTCTGAGCCCAGAGGGCTGGGAGGTGTTCATTGACCAGTACTAATCTGTCACTGGAGCATATAATACCTCCTAAAAAGCATGATGAGGACTCCACAATGCAAAACTTCTTAAGAACAGAGCTGTAGTTCTGCATAGTTGGAGAGAACTACCCAAGGCAACATGGCTCTCCTGAGCTAGAGCTTAGGTTTATACCTAAACTGAGAGGCAGTAAGTAACCACCAACCTCACAATCCCAGAGATAGAGGGACATCAGATAAAATGGAGGGTTTAGATGAGGTGGGAACAACGGAGGGTAATTATGTCTGGTAGGTATATTTGTGAAAAAAAGATGATTTCATTAAAATCCCAAGTGAATGACATCTATCCCCATAATTGCTGAGACACAAATCAGAAGACAGCACACATCCACCCAGCTGTCAGGTCAACCAAAACTTTTTTTTTGATGCAGGGGGAGGTCTGATCATGGGGCCTGAACTCTGGGCCTGGGCACTGTCCCTCAGCTCTTCAGCTCAAGGCTAGCACTCTACCACTTGAGCCACAGCGCCACTTCTGGCTTTTTTCTTTTTGCTTATGTGGTGCTGAGGAATTGAACCCAAGGCCTCATGCATGCAAGGCAAGTGCTCTATCACTGAGCCACCTTCCCAGTCCCTCAACCAAAACTTTAGCATCTCATTGACTTTGAGAGGACCACTTATGAAAATACAAGTCTGAAAAGATCCATAATGCCCTCATTATCTATCCTTCCAAGGGCTGAAAATCCTTCAATGGTACTGGTTCTTACTTTGGACAGTGATGGCCACAGACTTGGATGAGTAAGACATCCTTCCTATATTTCCTGTGCAGTAGTAATCACCACTGTGACTAAGATTGGCATTGTGGATGGAGAAGTTGCCACTGAAATGGGAGAACTTCTTGGATGTCCCATTCTGGTAGAAAGTGATCTTGTTCAGAAAGCTGTCTTTCCAGCTGTGGCACCTCATCACAATGGTGTCCCCCTCCTGGAACACCAGTTGAGGGGTCTGAAGCAGCAGCCAGTCTGAAAGACAGGAAAGGACACAGACCTCCCTCAAAGTCTTTTGCCTCACTCTGAGACCTCGACTATCCTTATTGGTGGGACCTCATGTGCAGAGAAAGAGCCTAAATTCAGAATCAGTTTCGTTTTTTTTGTTGGTTGTGGAGTTTGAACTCTGGGCCTGGGCACTGTCGCTCAGCACTTCAGCTCAAGGCTAGTGCTTCAGCACATGAGCCATGCACCACTTCCAGTTTTCTGGCAGTTAATTGGAGATAAGACTCTCATGGACTTTCCTTCCCTTGGCTGGCTTTGAATCTCAGATCTCAGCCTCCTGAATAGCTAGAATTACAGGCATGAGCCACCAAATCTGGAATCAAATAGTTTTGATCTCTAATTCCAGCTCCACTCATTTATGCACTCTGAAATCTTGGAGGAGTAACTTAATTCTGTCTGGGCCTCAGCTGCCAGTCTGAGGGTGCTCAAGTTTCACTACAGCCTTCAAGAACTCTGCAGAGGGCCTAAAAGCAGGAAAGAATGTGAATAAATAACTGTGAAGAAACTGTAGATTACAAGATCTCAGAGGAGGTGAGGGACCACCACAAGATGGTGTATACTCAAAGTGTAATAAGACCATGCATCTACTTATAGTTCCCAGATATGCTTATCTTCTCTTTCCTCTCCTGGAAGAAGGCAGCTACAGCCCTGTCCTATCAGGAAGGACACATGAGATCCAGAGATCCAGTCCCTTCCTGGAGGTGGGGAGAAAGAAATTCAGTCTGACTGAGGAGCTACTCTGAATGAATAATGGCAGTAAGAGGTAAGTCATGAGCTTGCTAAATACCTCTTAGGGGAGTAAGTGAAGAGCTACAACAGTAGTCATCATAGTCACATGACAGCTCTTCTTTATGGAGAGTCTATTATTTTAACAGGAACTTTGTAAAATTGTTGATGTGTTCAGCAAACATTTACAAAGTCCTGCATTGCCTCAGGTGCTGCAAATACAGAAATGGATGAGACACAATTTTCAATTCAAACTGCCTACAGGATGATGGAAAAAGACAGAGCAGGACACCCAGCACTGAGTGTGGAGAAGGGATATAAAGGTTAGGGAAATGTCACTTCTTCCCAGAGCTCAGTGAGTGAGGAAGGCGTTACTATCCCTGGGAAGCAGGCAAGGGAACCAACCGAGAAGGAGTAAATGAATTCATCGTATTTACATGGTTGGCTGCTTACAGGACTGAACTTCAGTTATGGTCACTCTGTGTGTTTTGGCTCTACATGAACGTGAACGGGCTTCTGTGAAATGGGGACTTCCTTTTCTCTCACACTCAGCTGCCTGTCTGTTGCCTTAGAACCTTCTTGCTCAATCAGGACTGAAGCAAGAATAACCATTCACATGCACTGAGGTATTTCTTAGGAATTTGCATAGACCCCCCCCCCCCCATCACCAACTCATACACTAAGCAAAGGAATGAGTGAAAAGGGCAATGCATGAGGAAAAGCACTTCTAGCAGCTCAGGACTAGGCTTGCCAAGAACAGGCAAACCTGTGCCTTGTAAGCACATTTGCTCCCTGCTGGCTTCCCAGCCCCTTCCTGGGACTCCCTCTACTTACCGGCTATCACAACCAGATGCACAGGGTCACTGAGGCTGGTCTGGCTCATCTGGCACCTGTACTCCCCACTGTCATTTCTCTTGGCTTTAAAGTTGTAGTTGGGCTGGACCTGGGCTGGGATGGATTTCCCATTGTGGAACCATTGTGTGGAGTGGTTCCCAGGGTTGTGGGACCCCTGGCAGGCTAGTGTCACATTGTCTTCCTGGAGCACTTGGATCCATGGGGGTTCAAGTTTCACCACAGCCTTGAGGAGATTTGCTGAGGCCAGAAAGCAGGAGTGGTAGTGAATAAACTGCGGAGGAACTATGGATTCCCAAGAATAGCTCAGAGGAGAACACAGACCACAGAGTCCCCTTGTAGACCCAGCTAAAGATCTGTGCACACATGGTAGCCTCTCTCCCTTGGGTCTTTGATGAATCCAGTTAAACTCTTTTTTTTGGTGGGGGGGGGCAGTTGTGGGGCCTGAACTCTGGGTCTGGGCGTTGTCCCTCAGCTCTTCAGCTCAAGGCTAGTGTTCTACCACTTGAGCCACAGCACCACTTCTGGCTTTTTTCTTTTTTGCTTATGTGGTGCTGAGGAATCAAACCCAGGGCCTCATGCATGCAAGGCAAGCACTCTACCACTGAGCCACCTTCCCAGCCCCCTCCAGTCAAACTCTTACCAAGAATCATATCCTAAGGCCTACTGCAATGAATGCCCTGCCCATATTGAACCCAAGTCTGATTCTTGGTAGAACAGACATGTCCCTACAAAGTAAATACAGTACTTCATTCTGAGGAAGTACCATCATCAGAACAAACGAGCATCTGGGTGCTAGTAGCTCATACCTATAATCCTAGCTACTTAGGAGACTGAGATCTAAGATTAAATTCCTTGGCAGCCTAGGCAGGCAAACCTGAAGATTCTTGTGTCCAACTTATCAACAAGGAGCCAGAATTTGAGGCATGTGGTAGAGTGCTCCAGCCATGAGAGGAGTAGGGGAGGCCTTGAATTCAAGCACAATAAAGGAAGCAAAACAAACCTGGCACTGGTGGCTCATGCCTGTAATCTTAGCTACCCAGGAAGCTGAGATCCAAGGATTACAGTTCAAAGCCAACCAATTCAAGAAAGTCTGTAAGACTTTTTTTTTTTTTTTTTGCCAGTCCTAGGGCTTGAACTCAGGGCCTTAGCACTGTCCCTAATGCTTCTTTTTATTTAAGGCTAGCAATCTACCACTTGAGCTACAGCACCACTTCTGGCTTTTTCTGTTTATGTGGTGCTGAGGAATCGAACCCAGTGCTTTGTGCATGGTAGGCAAGCACTCTACTGCTAAGCTAAATTCTTAGCCTTGTCAGATTATCTCCACTCAACTACAAAAAAAAAAAAGCCAAAAGTGGAGCCATGGCTCAAAGTAGTAAAGTGCTAGCCCTGAGCACAAAAGCTTATCCTGAGTTCAAGCCCCTGGACCAGCATACACACACACACACAAACACACACACACACACACACACACACACACACACACACAAATACGAAGGAGAAGAAGGAGGAGGAGGAGAAAGAAACAAAAACAAACAAGAAATTAACAAACTTACCACTTTGCCTATCTACGGAAGCTGTAAGGGAGAAAAGAATAGGTCAATGTAGAGCAGCAGAAAATGGTACAAATTAATTGTAAGGACAAGTGACTTGGGGTTCCTTTATTTCCCTACCCCCTCAGGAACTATTTTCCTCAAGAGCTTGTTTCTAGTAATCTTTCATCAGAACACTCGTCTATAAGTATTTCTTATTCCTGACCCCTTAGCATGGCTTCAAAGTAAGCTTGAACTTTTGGTACAGAATGGAGTTCCTCCTCTTCACAGGACTAGCTCCTGGAGTCTGAGTAATATTGGTGGCTGAAATTACCCTAGTCCAGAATGACCCTCACTCACCAAATACCAGTAAAATTGTCAGTGGTTGAAGCAGCCATTGATTCCAAGGTTGTACATTATGAAACAGTTGGGACTTCAACATTGTCCTACGACTTCACCCAAGTCCTGTGGCGTGTAGTACATGAACTCAGAAAAGAGGAAGGAAATTATTTCATCTTCTATGAAACAGTCATCAGTCAGGAGACTCCATTTCTGCTAACTAATCTCTAACAAACCAAGCTCAAAATGGAGTCAACTTTGCAGATTAATCTGCCTTTCCTGTTGTGCCCTTGTTAAAAACAAAACAAAAAACAAAAAAACAAAAAATGTGGGTTTTTGTTTGCTGGTGAAGAAACTGATGGGTGTGGAGTGATCACCAGGAGGACAGCTGAGATGAAATCCATATCTTAGATCTCATTTTAGTGTTGTTTCCAGAACACCCTCTGTGCTGTGTCACCAGCTAGTATAGGAAGTTCCAAAGGAGCTTTAACCAAGACAGGAAAATAAAAATACCCTTCTAAATATGTAACCAAAAAATCAATGTTAATAAAAGTAGTTAGCTGCAGGAGAGAATCTAAATATACTACAAACAAGATAATTTTTCTCTACTTCTGTCCTACATACACACAAGAAAGTTTTTAAGTTCAAGAAACAAATTTTGAAACATGTCTTTAATTCTACCTATTCCAGAGGCTGAGATCTAAAGGATCATAGTTCAAGGCCAGCCCAGGCCAAAATAAAGTTCATGAGACTCCATCTTAACCAATAAAAAGCTGGATACAGTGATGTGTGGCCTGTCATTCCCAGCCACTCAGGAAGCACAAACAGGATTATAGTCCAGGCTGACCAGGAAAAAAGTTAGACACTAGTCAAAAAATAACAAAAGCTAAAAGGTCTGGTGGCTAGCTCAAGAGGTAGAGTGTGCCTGGATGGTATGAGGAAAGCCCTAAGATCAAACCCCAGACTGAGAGTATGGCTCAAGTGGAAGACCCTTAGTTCAAACTTCAGTACAAAGAAAAGAAAAAAAAAAGGGTAGGAAAACCATAAAGCAATTTTAAATCTCATTAAAAGAAAGAAAAGAGTTGGGTGCTGGTGACTCACACCTATAATCCTAGCTACTCAGGAAGCTGAGATCTGAGGATCACATTTCAAAGCCACCCCAGGAAGAAAAGCCCATAAGACTATCTCCAATTAACCACCAGAAAACCAGAAGAGTTACTGTGGCTAAAAGTGGTATAGCACTAGCCTTAAGCAAAACAGTTTAGAGACAGTGCCTAGGCTCCCAAGGTCAAGCACCACAACAGAGAAAGATGGAAGGAAGGAAGGAAGGAAGGAAGGAAGGAAGGAAGGAAGGAAGGAAGGAAGGAAGGAAGGAAGGAGGGAGGGAAGGAGGGAAGGAAGGAAGGAGGGAAGGAGGGAAGAAGGGAGAGAGGAGGGAGGGAGGAGGGAGAGAAGAGGGAGGGAGGGAAGAAGGGAGTGAAGAAGGGAGTGAAGAAGGGAGGGAAAAGGGAAAAGATTGTCTATATGCTCTAGGTACTTTGGACAGAAAATATATGGATAGTGGGAGGGGGTTCCATCTAACTGGAGTTATCATAACATCCCACAGATTGAGCTCTTAGGCTACAACTTGGCTCCATCTAATGGCATGTCAGGGCCTCCTGAACTTCTAAATGATGGTTATAAACCAGGAATTCCTGAAATCTTCCTTAGGTTCTATAAATTGCTAGAATGTTTCACAGAATTCAAGGAAAGAGTTAATGCTTCCCAACTAATTAATAATAAAGGATATGATAAGGAATACAGTTGAACAACCAAATAAGGTATGTAGGGCATTGAAAGGGAAAACCTAAATAAATTCTATAGCTCTATTTGCTTTTAGTTACTTTTAGTTGACTTTAAAAATCACCAATTTTGAGTGCTGGGAAAGTGGCTCAGTGGTAGAGTGCTTGCCTTGCATGCATGAGGCCTTGGGTTTGATTCCTCAGTACTCCATAAGCAGAAGAAGCCAGAAGTGGTGCTGTGGCTCAAGGGGTAGAGCTCTAGCCATGAGCTGAGGAGTTCAGGGACAGTGCCCAGGCCCAGAGTTCAGGCCCCACAACTGGCCAAAAAAAAAAAAGAAAAAAGAAAAGAAAAGAAAAAAAAAAATCACTAATTCTGAGACCATAAATCTAAGCAATATATATTTGATTGCCACTAGCTTTGCTGTACATAATACCTCTGGATGTGTAGGTCATATAGCAACAATTGCCTAGATTGCCTTTTAGGAACATTGTCAAAAACAGTCTAGTTGGGCTGGGAAGGTGGCTCAGTAGTAGAATGCTTGCCTTGCATGCATGAGGCCCTGGGTTTGATTCCTCAGCACTACATAACATAAGCAGAAAAAGCTGGACAAGGTGCTGTGGCTCAAGTGGTAGAGTGTTAGCATTGAGCTGAAGAGCTGAGGGACAGGGCCCAGGCCCAGAATTCACGCCCCAGGACCAGCAAAAACAAAACAAAAACAGTCTAGTCAGTGGCTCATGCTGGTAATCCTAGCAACACAGGAAGCTGAGAAATGAGGATCACAGTTCAAAGTCAGCCTGGGCACAGTATGGAGAGTCATACTATGGCTCATACTGGCATACTGTGGCTCAAAGTGGTAGAGTGCTAGCCTTGAACAGAAAGAGCCTGAAACAGTGTCTAGGCCCTGAGTTCAAGCCCCATGATTAACCAAAAGCCCCATGACAAACAACAACAAAAAACATGAAGAAAGATTTTGCATGCATAGGCCACTAATTATCTCATCTAATCTCCTTTCCCAAGCCTTAAACTAGAATGCGTGTGTGTGTGTGTGTGTGTGTGCGTGTGTGTGTGTGTGTGTGCGTGTGTGTGTGTGTGTGTGTGTGAGTGTGTGTGTGTGTGTGTGAGTGTGTGTGTGAGTGTGTGTGTGTGTGTGCGTGTGTGTGTGTGCGTGTGTGTGTGTGAGTGTGTGTGTGTGAGTGTGTGTGTGTGTGTGCGTGTGTGTGTGTGTGCGTGTGTGTGTGTGTGTGTGTGTGCGTGTGTGTGTGTGTGTGCGCGTGTGTGTTCAAGCCTCACAACCTAAGATTACAAGGGAGAGCCATCAGCGTCCGGTTCCAATTTCTTTTAATACAACCAAAATTGGAAGTAGAGGACAGAGTATTCCATTCCACAATTTTCAATTAAGGTTAATTATATAAATTACATTCCCTTTTTTTTATTCTACATCTTCCCTTTATTCTCTTTAGCTCTGCTTCAGTGGTAAATCTTCCTAACACATCAATCTTTCCTCCTACAGCTGAATCAATATGAACAGTTACTGAATAAAATCATAACTGTAGCTATCCTTCAGCATTGAGGCACAATCTCACTGAGGAAAGAATTGTAACTAATGAAAAGCAAAAGTTGTTCTTAGGAATGGCTTGGCATTATTGGTTCTATGTGACTGTCAATGCTCCTACTTCACTCATCTTCAGGACAGACCTTGTTAATGAAAGGACATGAAGAGATAGGACTGCCTTTTGAGAAGACAGACAAACTGGATGGACAAGGAAAACTCAATGTCCTGAGGATGATTTAACTCCAGGATCCCTAAAGAACACTATGCCATTATGTAAGCAAAAGGAAATGCCCACTTACACATGGAAGCAGAGTACAGAGCCTTATGTTTTCCAATGCAGATTTGGATAATATATCTGAACCTTACCTCAGGAAGAATTAAGATTTGAGTTTCATGCCTCTAAGCATGGCTGCAACCTGAATGGGATTTATCATCTGCAAAACTCATTTTAATGAATGACATTAGTGTACAGTGGGCTACAGGAGCTTGAGTAAATAAAGTCTTCTCCAATAATTGATGTTTGACTCCAGTTGTGAACACAGAGTTTCAACATCCTTTGAAATCTTCTGGGTGCTAATATATTCTGTGCTAATGAGGTGACAGTTGACGGACTCCAGGAGAGTTTAAGGATGGAAAGAACTCACCAAAAAGGTATAGTACTTAGCTTAGTACTCACAGTACTTAGCTTAGCAATCTCAGCACTATATGATATTAATGGAAAAAGAAATAGAAGAATTAGTAACTAGTCAAGCCCATGATGTAGCCATAATAGAGGATAAAGACAAGGGAAATCACTATAAGATGGAATTTGGGGAAATTAGGGTGGATAAATACGTCTGGGGCCTGAAAGATTACTAAAACAGGTTGACACACACGTTCTATTAATGAATGGAATTTTATATGTAAAACCCATAGTTATGTGCGCAGTCAGGGAAAAGTGAGATTGGGAGAGGGAGTGGGTAGATGAGGAAATGAATGGGAGAGGGACTGGGTGGATGAGAGACTCCCTGGATTGAGTCTGAGAGGTGGGGAGTCAGAAAGTGACTGAAGGAATCAGTACCTGTACAAAACAAAAATTAAAGAATGGCCGATTTGATGACAGAGTACTGGGGTGAAAGGATAAGGGTGGAATGAAGGAACTCAAAGAAGACAAAGTGAAAGAGCACAGAATTTAGGGGATGAGTGAAAGGGAAGAGGGACTCGTGATTACATAGGGTGAGGGGGTGACTGGGAGACACAGAGTTGAGTGATAAGGTGAAAAACCAGTGAAAACGTGAATACGCCAGTGAGTGACTTCTACCCGAAGGCAGAGAATGAAGGAGATAAAAACAAACTGGTGAGTAATTAGCAAGAACATTAGTTACAGCTGAACAAGGGGCCCGGGGAGCAGGGATTGTGAAGGACAAAAGAAAAAGAAGTGAGAAAAATAGCTGAGCTTAGGGTTGGGGGTGGGGAGCAGCTCAGGGGGAAGGGGATATGCAAGGGAACAAGCAGGTGAGTGAGGTGAGGGAGTCCTTGAGGGTGGTAGGAAAGGAAGGAGAGCAGGACAGAGGGACAGAGGAAGGGAGCTAGTGAGGGAGTGAAAGACAGAGGGAGTGATGCAACACAGGAGGGAAGGAGGCAGGGAGGGTGAGAGCGGGAGGGAAAGGGAGAGAGGCAGGCAGTGGATGGGCCAGTGGTGGAGTGTGGGGTGAGTGAGTGGTGGATTGGAAGACTGGGTTTGGAGATTGTGATGGGCTGAGGCTGGAGAAAGGTGAGTGGAGGCTCAGTAAGATTCAAGAAGGAAGTCAGGCACTTGACTCAGGTGTGGAT